CTTCTAGAGCAGATACTGTTCACAGTTCCTACAGGGAACCCTGCAGAAATGTTTACCCTTTCTCACAGTAGCAACTTTGTTTTCGAACAATTATCAGCATATGTTTGAGTCAACAGGGCTCGCTCTGATTGGTTGGAAATGTCATTATACTGTATATTATGCATCGCAGGTATTTTCCTCCTCAGAATCAGGGAATGTCTGCTCAGAAAAAAATAATGTTTTGTCAAATAATACTGTCCAACCCTCGACCCAGTGTTAGGATATTAGGTTCACCTTCATTAGGGTTTGAATGAAAGGAAAAGAATCAGTGGAGGAAACCAGCTCTGTGACGAGCATCATGAAGATTGACAGTTAATCTGTTTGTAAGAAGAGAGTTTTCTGCGAGGCTGTCTGGTAGTTTCCACTTTAAGCCTCCTCCTCAGGTGAATGATGATTTCTTCAGGTGGGTGTCGATGCCTTCTTTTTCTCACTTCACAAAGCATCCATCTTCTGTGGCTGGATCATCGCTCACAAAGGAGTGCCCTTGGCCTTAAGTTGTACGCAGACACCGGGATCTTGACCTCAGGAGTCGGCCTCTCGGTGTTACTGCTTTTGTACCAAAGCTGCTCATTTTCTCTCCTATACAGGTCAGCTCAGTCCATTTTTTAATCTCGACAAATGATTACTACGTGGTCCTGGACTTCCATTGGGGTTTAGCTCGTAGCAGCCACATAACTGAAATTTTCACCCTAAATAGGAACTTACATATAATTGCATATCACAAACCGAACCTGATGGCCGGGAAACGACTTTTACATAGTTACAGAAAATAGCATAGAAGACCACATGGAAAATGTGCTCTTGAACTTCTCTACAATTACAATATCAAACCATGTTAGCGGAGTCGTCAAAAGTCGACTTTCTTAATAAATGTATATGTAGGTTTGGCGATTAACGGCGAAAACGTAGTCGTAGGTCGAGGATGTCGTAAACCGCAGATCCCTGTATCTGTTTTTATCCTAACACAGAAAGGGAAAAATAATCTAAAATGATGTGTTTTTAAATTCTCTACAGATTCACCGCTGATGGTTGCAGACTGAAGTAATGATTAGATCAGGTAAACCAGTGGCCCACCGGCTGCTCAACAGGTGCTAGCTGACATGCTGAGGTTTACAGTTATTAGGGGTGAGGTTTTCTCTTTTTCCAAAACTAGAATTTTTTTTCAACAGCACGATGCATTCTCTTTATATAACAGTGAGCTTAAAGACCCTCTAATGTCCATTTCTGCAGAGGCAATACCAAGGTCCCAGCAGCCACTTGGCTGCTCATCTCTCTTCCATTAGCACGGCAGCCAACACCGCTGCAATTACTGTCACTGTCATGGTCGACACAAGTGGCACAATCCCAGTGATTAGAGTCAGGCTTTGACACAATCTCATGGAAATGCACTCACACACTCGCGCACACACACACTCATGCACAATTATACACACACAGATTGTGGCTGTAACTGGCTAAGTGGATGCTCCATCGGCGTGCTACACTCAGCCACCTGCTGCTGTCTCTCTACCTTTGCTGCAGGCGGGAACATAACAGCGCTACAGACATTACACATTAGTCATTAATTGAGCTTTAATCATCACATTGTTCAATTGTCTGAGACCAACTTGATGAGTATGTTAAACTCAAGTGCTCTAAACACCTGGCTGCTATAAACCTAAAGCCACGGGTTCTGCAAAGCCAAGGACGAGGACTAGAAATGGGTCACGGGTTCTCCTCTGCCGGATCAATGTGTGAGGAGATCATGGAACTTTTAATGAGGCAGAGGCAGAAGTGATGGCCAAACTTTATAAACAGCCATTCAGAGCTAATGGAAAGTCAGTGTGTGGCTGTGTCCATTATTTTCTTTGACATTAGCACTCTCTCTCTCTCTCTCTCTGTGTGTGTGTGTCTGTTAAACTGAAGTCCAATTACTCATGCGCTGCTAAACAATGGCCAGGACTGGAGTTATTGACAGTTTGCTAAACCTGAGAGTCGAATAAATACTCACGCGTTCGTGTTTACTTAGCCACATGCAGTACAGTATACATGATGTTCTTTAATGACATTGAGCTAACCAGCCTTTGATCCAGCTGACAGCAGCCCGGCCTCACACTGTAGACTGGCTGTGTTGGTAATGTAAAGCTGCAGGCGGAGACTATAGATTCTTAAAGTGACAACGTTTAGTAGAAAAAGGACTCTCTCTCTCCTTCTTCTCTGTAACGTCAATCTACATTTTCTAAAAGCCCGTGGCAGTATTTTCCCATTTTGAGTTTCTTTAAGAGAAGATAATGTTATGTCGAGCTGTTTTAGCAGAAAACAGATGACAGACACAACAGGAAATGGTTCGTATGACTGGATGTTGTCTGTGATTGACAGCTGTATCATCTATCAGTATAAGCTGGTGAAACACATAATGTGTCAATCACACCGAGTGGTCGACTGGTTATCTCTACTGTCGCATTCTATCATGTAATGATGGCATTTACAAAAGAGATTAAGTTCAAAATGAACAATATGTTTTATTATAAAAGAACTAAATCAACACTTCTGTGTCCAACAATAAAGAATAGCATTTTCATCTGAAGCTGATGGCTGGAAGATAGCACACATTTAACAGTTGTTTTCTAGCCTTGTCCTTTACACACAGCATTGTAGTCTGAGCTGAAAAAAAACAAAACATGTCAAATCCAACTTTTTCCTACCATACATTCTTTTTAAGGTTGTAGGGACTCTGGTGCCAATCCCTGCAGTCAACTGTCAAGGTCAGGGGTCATCCTAGACAGTTGGCCTGACCATCAAAGGGTCACGTGGAAAAACTATTCACGCTTGCATTCACACCAAGGTTAATTTAAAGTGTCCTGTCAATGTGATATCTAATTTATTTTTCAACCTCTTCAAGAACACTGACCACATTTCTCATTGGAAAATTAATTTAGACATTGATGTTTTCTCCTTTCATTACAACACCTGTTCTTAGTTGTCATGCTACTAAACACACAACTGAACACAGGATTAGGTTCGTCAGTTGAAAAACTATTTTTATTTTATTTTTCTACTGACCTCTATCCATGTGGGGTTCTTCAAAAAATAACACTTTTGCAGCTTCACCTTGGAAACCAGCTAGTTACGACAGATTCACGTACGTTCAGGACTGACAGGCTGGATGTAGAATGTGAATACGAAGAGCACTGAGAAAAAGATGCATGTGTCAGGTTCATGGGTGTTTGAACAGCTATTGGATGGACCACTGCCCACTTCTTTGTGCTCCAAATACAGGGGAATTTACTGGCCATTGTGGCTCCCTGCCTGTTCACCATCCAGAGAGCTGAGAGTGTGGATTTCAGTTCCACAGAGCCAGCGACTAGCAGGGCTTTTTCCTAATCATCCTCCACGGTTTTGTCTTTGACTCTTTTATCCTCTGTCTTCTCTCGTTGTCTCTCTGTTTTGTGCCTGATACAGTGCACAGTCAGCCCTGGCCCAGCTTTGGTGGAGTAATCTGTGAGTAGCAGAGGTTAGTCATCCAATTCTGTGGTCCGATTTGGGTTTAGCTGGTAAATCCTGTGTACGCTGTGGAGAACGTAAGACTGTCTTTGTAAACTGTCTTATTATTATGAGGGAGAAATGCTAATATGTTCTCATTTAGAGCAGGTTTCTTTTGTTGTTTTGTCTCACAAGGCAGCTCCCGCTCAAATGTGCAACACCGTCAGAGACAACGCATAAAAAGTCATTACCAAACATCACTCACCTCAGAGCAGTAATGAGATTCATTCACATGGGTCGGCAGCATCTCTGAAGTGAATGGTAAATTGATGCTCAAGGTCAACGGGCGGAGCAAACATCTGTAAAAAAATATAGTGTTCAGTATTAACGCAGAATTCTTTTTTTAGTTTTGGTTAAATGAGACTCAATTATTTCAACTGATTTAGTCAAGCTGTGAAATTCATCACATTTGTAAAACCCATTGGGTTCAATACAAGTTTAAGATAAGAAGTCCTTCATCCGTCCCACAGCGGGGAGGGTTACTGGAGCAGAGTATAAAGAAGTGAAGTACAGCAGAGAGCTACAGTATGGGACGTATCAGCTTGCCTTTTCCTACATTTATAATGCTGAATTATTTCATTTTGTGACAATGAAATATTGCAGGTCAAAAAATAAACTGAAATAAAAATACAGTTTCTTTTAGGAAGGAACGGCGCAGTGGTGGTCACTTTCTAAGAGAACTGTCAGTCCATCTGAAACAAACACTCTAGAAAATGTAGCAAAAAAATAGAATTGTCGCCACTGTTTACTTTACCAACAAAGCTTGACAATAATAGAGCTTATATCTTGTTCACGTTGTCTCAGGTATCGAAACGGAAATTACATATATGAGTACATATATACACAAGACTGGGCCAAATATATCACTTGTATAACTGCAATATTTAGTATTTAAACCTTACAAACTATTAAAAATAAATGATAAAAAGATGTTTGACTTCTTGGAGTTGGCTGCAGAAATGAAATAAAATAGATTTTATGTTTCACCCTTAAATTGTTAGACAGTAAAAACATTGAATGTCTTTTTTTTTTTGGTCTGCCTCTAACCCATAAACAAAGGTCAATACCAAATAAATGTAGAGTTTTGATTACAGTTGAGAACAGTGTAGTGACTCTTCACGACATGGTTTTGTCTCATAAATCCCTGTACCAGGCACTGAAATAGCCAGAGTTTTTTTTTCTCTTTTTCCATAAATGTACCGGCCTTGTCAAAACCTGATGTGTGCCTACCCACAGTCTAACTTCACTGTTGGCAGTTCTGTCAGATGAAATCTAACGCACATTTCAGTTTGAGTGCCTTGTCTGTCTTTACTTGATGTGATGTGAGCTATAATTCTAACTCCTCTAGACTGTAGCAGCTGGTTATAGCTGGGGTGGTCTCAGTGCATCCGTCTGGATGGCTGAATTAACTGACCTCTTCGACTTGTTCCTTCTTTGGCTGGAAACAATCGTTTGCACATTTAAAAACACTTGGTTTGATTATTGTAGGAATGAAACTCTGGAGATGAGGACGAGTCAATAAAGGATTTTATTAAAAGGAACATTGTGAACATTCACAGCTAAGAGAGCAGAGAGAGCCTGAAAATATTTCCAGACACGAGAAGCATTTTCAGCTTTTTTTTTTTTTTTTTTTAACCTATAAAAGGAAGAATATCGGATGCGTGCGGAATAATCAATTGAGAGTGAAGCAGAAAAGCATCTCTGGGGTGACACGTTAGAAAACAAAGAGGGCTTCCCGGCGGTGGATCCTCGCAGATGTGTGTGTCAGAGGGGTTTGGTTCCAGTTTCGTGCTGGGTGTCGCGTCTCTCTGCTCCATTTCCTGTCTCTGTGCTCAGTGGGTTGTCACAGGGCCTGCAGGAGGGGATGTGGATTTGAAGGTAGGCGGGATGTTGGCTCTTCTTTGAAATGAAAGAGACATAATGCGAACCAGTGGTTCCCAATGACGAGGGGAATGGAAGCACAGTGGTCATCAAACGGGTGATAATCCTGCATTAGGATATTTTAATTGGTAGTCTTAATTAATGCATGGGTCACTCATAGGATTAAACCAGTAACCATAAAAGAGTTTTATTGTTATTGCTAAGGGGTGCAGTGTTGACAGTCAAAGACTTTGAACATTCACATCAGCTCTATTTATAAAGAGTTTGGCCCAGTGCAAATATTTTAAAAAGCCTTTCACATTACATGATGAGCAATTTGTTTTCCAGATATTTTAGTTATTTTTTGGTTTTGGAAAATTTCTGCTTAACATGTTAGACATTTTTAAATAAAGGCTTTTCTTTACCAATTATTTTACGAATTATGTTTTACAAAAATGACCTGCCTTATATTGATTAATAAACTGGAGCCACATTTAATTAACCTACCCAAAAAGGCAAAAAATAAAATAAAGCTCAGAAAGCTATTTCACGTATCTTTTTTTTTTTTTTTTTTACTAAAATAAAGCTCAGAAAGCTATTTCAAGTATTATTTTTTTTTTTAAAAAAGGTCCATATTCACAAAAAATGTCATCTGTGTTGGTTCTCGGTTATCAGGGTCATTTTAATAGAAGTAGAAAGCAACTGGGCTGTTTTTGTTTTTTTTTTGAAAAAGTAAACTAAGACAGTCCAGTTGACCCTTTACTTAACTCCTTCAGACTTAAATGCTTTATCATAAATGCCAAATAAAATCCCTACAAAATCTCCTGTATCAGGAAAAACTTCCGAAATGTCACACATGGTCAACATGGCGCTGATCATGTTTAATTCCGCACATGTCGATTTTATCAAAAAGTGTGCAATTTCAAAGTTACTAAAACCTGCAAATAACAGACTGTGACCAACTAGTGTTTGTTCACGCGTGGTGTTTTCAGACAGACACTGTTCTGCTTTTAGCTCCGGTTCCATTCTTTAGTCCTCGAACCTCGGTGCTATCTGGTGAACCAGCCCACATTCATGCCAGTTTGAGTGGAACCAAAGTGGGCGTGAGTCACTTCACACCAGGTTAGTGGGAGGATGTTCCTCTGGTACTAAGACAGTTCAAAGATGGGTTAGGGAACTGGAACCGGCACGGAGCCCTGTCGGTGTAAAAAGCCCCAAAAGTGAGGAACAGAGAATGCTCAGTGCAACATGGGAGTTCCCCAAACAGTCTAGACCACTGGCAGCACAGCTAGGGGATGACAAGGAATTCAGTGGATGGTGTCTTCACCACCACCTGCACAAAATGTCTAATTTCTGAGTTTTCATGCAAATCAAGCTGCATGAGAACCCAGAGTTGATTGGTGGAAACTACCAACTGATTATCCAGACACAAAGAGTGTAAACTGCCACAGGAACACATCGTACACAGCAACAACAAAACGTCTTTTTCCTAAAAATGAAAAAGCTAAAATAAACATAAAGCGTACAGTTTTGAAATCTCAGGGCAGACAGAGGGCAAAACAACAAACACACACACGCTAACAAAAGAGACTTAAGCTTACCTGGAGCCAACGCAGAAACTGAAAGACGAATTCAATCAAAGGTCAAAAGAAGAAGTCTTTCCATTGGACAACAACACGTTACCAAACTAGCATTAGGTTCCAAAACAAGAGGCTAGTGAGGAGAAACAACATCTGCTGCCAGCCGCCATCTTGGTGTGTTTTAAAGCAGGTGTCTTGATGAACAGCCAATGGCAGGCCAGGACAGGCGGAGTCCACCAATCATCTCTCTTTCTCTGTCCTTTACACACAGGCAAAGACAAAGATGTGTCTAGAACAAACATATGCAAGGAGAAATGTATTTACATAATGAAATTACAAATATATAACATAATGGCTGCCATAACAGCTACCAAACAATGTGAAGGTTTGAATGAAGAACTAAAACATATTTGAAGAAAGATTACAGGGAATAAAAAGTAACTGGACCAATAAAAAAAAAAAAAAAAGATGAGATTGATAAAAATAAAATGCTCCTATAAATAAGTGAGAGTGACTCAGAGTGAAACAATACAACCGGATGTTATTATACAGTGTAATGCCTGGTTTGCTATTGTAAAAATAAAAATAGAAAACCTTTGGCAACACTTAATTTCCCCTTTAAATGTAACCCACTTACAGTATGATGCAACATTCTCCCAGTATGTGAGTTTACTTTCCTCATCCAAACCTGAGGCTTTTTTCCTTTTTCACGATATGAACATCCTTCTTGATAATGAGGCTTCGTACTACTCATGGAGGTGTTTTCCTGATTGTTTTTGTTCATACTTTGTGGTAGAATGAAAAGAGAAAAATAATTTGCTGTAGAAAATGAGTGGTGGGAAGTGATAAGGAGTGAAATTAAGAACAGACAATGCCAGAAGAGAAGAATAAACAAAAGTAATTAAACTGTGGAGGAGCCAAAATAAGTCTTTGATTATCATAAACTTCAAAAGGATTAAAAACACCAACATTCTCTGGGAGAAGGGAGCAAAAGTGAGATGAATTAAATTAAAGATAGATTCTAAAAGACCCCACATAGAAACGTAATAACGAAGTGTTCTATCAGGAAAATCTGGGCTCTGAGGAGAAGTGGGGAGACGTTACAGTTAGTTACTGAGGAGTGAAGCCGGAGAGTGCACAGAGCAGGGCAACCTGCAGAAGAAAGGAATAAGGAATGGTTGGATGAAAGACACGGAATAAGAGAGGAGTAGCATGCGTGTAAGTGTAAATGTGTGTGTGCGTGTGCGTGTGTGTGTGATCTTGTATGAGCCGTGTGGAGTGCGAGCTGCATGGCTGAGCAATTTCTGTCCAGTTGGCTGCCTGTGAGAGTGTGTGCGGTAGGGGGTCCCAGGGAGGGCTTTGATCATCAGCGAGTGTGACAGAAGATTTCTGACAGAGAGGTAACCCCCCAATCACACACACCACAAACACACACACACACACACGGGGAACTGCATCACCACGACCACTTATGCTGCTCCCATATATGTGAAGGCTGCACCTTAAAGTTACTCTTTTATTCTTTTCAGACGTGTCACAACCAAATGATAAAAAGTCCATAGGCTGTGGCTTAATTTTTATTTTCCGTTAAGAATCTTTCGACTCTGACGTGTTTATTTTATTTATTTTTTTTCTCTAAATGAGGCCTGAAACTCATAGGAGATTTAAATATTGACTGAGACAAACACTCCTAATGTCATGTCGTGACTTTGCTCAACTCATTTTTAAAGGCTTATCTGCTTTGGGCTTTTAACCAACTTTTTTTCACCCACAGACCCAAACACACACACAAACACACAGACACAGCAGCAGTGTATTCCTCATTATAGCGAGAGTAGAGCTGTGAAAACTCTTGTCATAAACAATTCTGTACAGAAAGTCCGACTGTACACAGCCGTCGCCGTAGGAGCTGTATATTAGGGTTTTTTAAAAAGTCTGCCACAAATTCAAAGAAAAAAGGACAGTATTTGTTTCTCATGGCTGCGTTCAGAGGAACAAGGCTGAACAAGTGCATGTCACAGAACAGAAGGTCACTGAGTATTTGCCACAGTTCTGGGATCATTTGTTGATTCCATGGTTTGTTTAAATGCACGTGGAATGGACCTAAAATGAACCTTAAGCAAAACAAATAATCAGACCCGCACTGGCATACTGAGACACACACACACACACACACACACTAACACATGTCTTCTAATAATAGAACATTAATTTCCCAATTTATTTTGTCTCTGGTTGCCAAGCTGCCAGTCCTTCAGGTGTTTTCATTGAGGTTCAGACACTCAGTAAACTGGTAATTAGTTTCTCCTGGCTTTGTGTGTGTGTGTGTGTGTGCGTGTGTGTGTGTAAGAGAGAGTCACATCCAGACAGAAATCAATTTCAGGCGGAGATCTATCACCTTTTGTAGCCAGCGATCCAATCATCGAATAATGCATCTGATATCACGCTGTCGAGGTGGTCTGTTCAGGGAATGATTCACTCTCTCTCTCTCTCTCTCTCTCTCTCTCTCTGTTGTTCACCTTCTCATTTTTTTTTCTCTTTCTGTGACCGTTCAATTCTTCTCTCCACAATCCACACACCTGCAGTATTTCACACATTCTGTCCCCTGTCTGTCTCACACACCAGGAGAAAAGGAGACAGGGTGAAGGTAAAGGAGGACGCCGTCTTTCAGAGATAATATCTACAACATCAGCCGCCCAGCGAGACACCTCGATGTATTTGTATTTTTCAGGTTTATTAATTCAAACAAAGTAATCGTTCAGAACCAGGAGAGTTTTTGCTGCATTAACCAGACATGACATTAGGGGGAGCTTGTGGTGGAATCTCTTTCAAAACACCTTTTCCAGAATTTAAAAGTTATCGTGAAATATTTTTTCGATTTAATCAGACATCAAAAAGTCAGATTAAATCTTAAAAATATTTCCTGGTAACTTTTAAATTCTGGGAAAGGTGTTTTGGAAGAAGCAGAGATCGCTGTGCTCAACCAGCAGGGGGTGACTGAGGTGGTGTTGTTCCATCATTAGCTTAGTCTATTCAAATAAACCCAGATACGACACTCCACACTCTAGATTCTCTGCAGAACTTCAGAGACGTGCAGCTCACCTCTGAAACTAACAGGTTTGTTTCTGCTTCACTCCAGTGTCTCTCTCTCTCTCTCTCTCTCTCTCTCTCTGTGTGTGTGTGTGTGTGTGTGTGAGCAACATACAGAGTTAAACATTGATGTCATAATACATTGACTCAGACGGCATCTCCTACTGTGACATCGTCATGGTTACCACATGGAGACAATGCTGTAAATAACTCTATTAGTTCACCACACGTGCACACCACACACACACACACACATACACAACACTTGGCCAGACATATGGTATGCCTGCACACGTACCATCACACCCCACTTTTCTCTTTCTAACTCACACATATTCTAACTCAAAATGACATTCAAACACACACACACACACACACTTGGCCACATTCCGTAGAACACTCAATATGTATGCACAACTCTGCTCTTAAAACACCAATATTTACCCTTCCATCCTCTCCTCTGCCTCCCTCTCCTTGAGAAGAAAGGTCATTTCTCACCAGGAGACTCACCAGCCTGTCAGGAAGAAGAGGAGGAATGATGGAGCACGGCTCTCTCACCGACGGCTTAATATAAAACATATCCAACACTTCAACACATCTTGTGGTTCCAGAACGTAATAATAAATGTAACGTGTTATTGAACAGACTAAATAAACCAAAGAAAATGTCTTCTTGTTTGTTCTACTTGGACTAAAGATCAAAACTGTGACTCAGGAGTGTCGGGTGCATCGTACAACATCTGTCTCTGCGGAACACGAGAGAATTCACTCTATGGATGATGCTGGTGTAGAAATGTACTTTGAGTATTTTTGGATAGATGGAAAAATACATCTGCTACAAAGGACACAGTCGTTGCGATAAGAAAATGTAGATCAGAAAAGCCATCAATAAACAGGTTTTCTAAAGGCCGATGTGCTTGAAAACACATTTTTAACAATCAGTTTGAACAACGTCCAGAGGAACGCTGCTGCTCACAGAACAGAACCACACAACCATTCAAAGAATAACACTGTCACACAGAGATTTCAGTAACAGTTTACGCTGTTCCTAAATCTGAAAATCTGTCATCAAAACTCTGGTTGGACATGTGTGTAACAGTCAATACACAGTCCATTTATTGTTGCTGTCCTATATTTCCACATCTTGTCGTCGTCTCCAAATGCAACAAGGTTTGACACATACTGGGGAACCTGTAGGTCTGTTCAATTCTTACAAATGGTCTTTAAGTTACTATTCCAATAATATCCCGTCTGGACATTCCAAAACCCTTTATTTCACTGCAGAAAGCATGGTTAAAAACACGTTCAACCACAAATACGTCACATATTCCTGGGAACAGCCTTTGAGACTCTGTACGCACCTGTAGTATTAAAAAAAACTTTCACTGAAATAAGTCAAAGTAAAGTCTTTCTAAGTATTACAAATGCTACTGGAGTGAACAGTCACAGCTGGCGACCAGCAGGTGAAAATACTGCAGTACACTAAGCAGCTAGGAAGACAGATTACCTTCAATATTTCATTGGTTTGCATCATGCCTCCTAATGGGAAACAGTGAGTAAAATGGGAGTACAGTACTTCCATCATATAATACTTAATTTTTCTGCAGCGAATACAAAAATGTTGAAATATGAAGAGTTTTTTTTTTTAACTCAGCAGTACAGTGTTTTTGTACAATGACATTGTGGGTGAGGTTGAGTGCATTGTTTCCCAAGACTGGGTCGCAGCCCTCAGGTGGGTCGCAAGATTTTTTTTTTTTTTTGGGTTGTCTTGCATCATGTTTCCCAGGAGTTTATGAATAATGTCTATTGACTTGGGTCGCAAAGGTTTGTGACTTAAAATATGGGTCCCCAGAAAAAAAAGGTTGGGAAACACTGGTTTAGTGGATGAAGTGAGTGACCTAAAAACTGAAAGGTTAGGGGTGTGATACCATTCTTTTCTCTGGTCAAGACATTTAAGCTGAAGTTCCTTCTTGAAACTGTGGTAGCGAAGTATCAAATATGTGTGCTACAAATACGTGACCAGTACAGAGAGGTGAAGCGCACTTTATCATCAAGTCCTTCACGAGGTCTCACATACAGAAAGAAACAGACGATCCTTAAAACCTAGGCGTGCCAAAGTGTTTGAACGCTCTGAGAACTTGAACCGTGGAAACTTTTTTCCTTCTCAAAAAAAGAAAAAAAAGAAGCCCAAAACAGTTCA